GCTCCAGGCTCTGAGCCATCAGCCCAGAGCCCGACGCGGGGCTCGAACTCACGGACCGCGAGATCGTGACCTGGCTGAAGTCGGACGCTTAACCGACTGCGCCACCCAGGCGCCCCTTTTTTCACTCATCTTAAACTTAAATATTTGAATAGAGTACAATAATGGTGAGAAGTGCATGTTTGCAATATATTTATTAGTTGGGAAAGAGATAATAAAAATACTTTAATATTTTAAGTAATAAATTATTTTTGGTACTTAACATAATTATTCTCAGTACTTAAAGTAATAAAAAATACATAACACTTCAGGTTTAAAATTAAAAGGTAGAAGGTTATGTCTTAAATTTCTTCAAATACATTCAGTATCCTTGAGTAAAGTTCTCAACACATTCATTCCCTGCCTCTCTCTCTCTCTCTCTCTCTCTCTCACACACACACACACACACACACACACACACACACACTAAACAATTAAATTTAAATATTGGATATTTGTATGCATCTCAAAAATTTCCCAAACCTGGATTTTTATGCAATTCTTAAATATTTTCTCTTCTAATCCAGGTATTTATGTTTCGATGAGGCAATGACCCATCTTTCCAAGAAACTGCATTTTATTCAGTAATCAGTGTAAACATATGAATTACTCTTCCTACTTTAGGTCAACAATACCTATGCCATAGCTGACATACTGCCAAAAATTTTATCTAATGATTACAGTTCCTGAAGTTAGAGCTGATCACTGATCTATAGCTGATCAGAAATATTGAAAAAAAATATTTGTCTTATTGTGGTTTTCAAAGCAACTCAACATGTTGTATTTGTGTTAAAAAGGAAATTAACTCCTTACACAGCAAAAACAGAACTGATGTTCTATTCAAACTTGTGTACACAGCTTCCCTTTTCTGGCCAGCGTTACTAGTATTTAGGTTCAGAGTAAAACTGGAGTTCAGGTCCCGTTCTCTAACTTTATGGTGAAACTCTCATTAAGTTCTTTATGAATCAATCTGTGAATGTGGTTTCAAAAGTTTCCTTTCCTTTAGCCCACTGCTTCACTGCACTTCTCTAAACAGTCTGGATGTGTAAAATCAACTTATAAAATATTTCTCACACCATGCACAAAAATAAATTTAAAATGGATTAATGAGCTACATATGAGACCTGAAATCATAAAAATAGTAGAAGAGAACAAAAGCAGTAATTTCTCTGACATCAGCAGTCGAAACATTTTTCTAGATATGTCTTTTAAGGCAAGGGAAACAAAATCAGAAATAAACTATTAAGACTACATCAAAATAAAAACCTTTTCCACAGTGAAAAAAAAAACATCGAAAAAACAAAAAAGCAACCTACTGAGTGGGAAAAGATATTTGGAAATGGTACATCCAATAAGGAGTTAATATCCAAGATATATAAAGAATGTATACAAGTAAACACCAAAAAAACCCAAAAAAAGGCTTCCAAATAATCTGATTAAAAATGGGCAGAGGCTCTTACTACGTGGCAATGAGAAAAAATGAAATATGGCCTTTTGTAGCAACGTGGATGGAACTGGAGAGTGTGATGCTGAGTGAAATAAGCCATACAGAGAAAGACAGATACCATATGGTTTCACTCTTATGTGGATCCTGAGAAACTTAGCGGGAACCCATGGGGGAGGGGAAGGGGAAAAAAAAAAAAAGAGGTTAGAGTGGGAGAGAGCCAATGCATAAGAGACTGTTGAGAACTGAGAGCAAACTGAGGGTTGATGGGGGGTGGGAGGGAGGAGAGGGTGGGTGGTGGGTATTGAGGAGGGCACCTTTTGGGATGAGCACTGGGTGTTGTATGGAAACCAATTTGGCAATAAATTTCATATATAAATAAAAAAAATACTGTGCCTAGATGTCACCTCTCAGCTCAAAAAAAAAAAAAAAAAAATGGGCAGAGGACCTGAATAGACATTTTTTCCAAAAAAGACATACAGATGGCCAACAGATACATGAAAAGATGTGTAGCATCACTCATCATCAGGGAAGTGCATATGAAAACCACAATGAGGTATCACCTTCACCTGTCAGGATGGCTAATATCAATAACACAAGAAATAACCCGTGTTCTTGGGGATGTGGGAAAAAAAAGGAGCCCTCATGAACCCATGCACTCTTAGTGGGAATGTAAATTGGTACAGCCACTGTGGAAGACAGTATGGGGGTTCCTCAAAAATTAAAAATAGGAACACCACATGATCCAGTAATTCCAATACTGGTATATTTACCCAAAGAAAGCAAAAATGCTAATTTGAAAGGATATGTTTCTATGTTTATTGCAACATTATTTACAATAGCCAAGATATGGAAGCAACCTAAGTGTCTATCAATAGATGAATGGATAAGGAAGATGTGTTGTACACACACACACACACATTATACAACCATAAAAAAGGATGAGATCGTGCCATTTACAATAACATGAATGGACCTAGAGGGTATGATGCTAAGTTAAATAAGCCTGAGAAAGACAAATACCATATGATTTCACTTATATGTAGAATCTAAAAGAGTAAATTAATAAACAAAAAGCAGAATCAGACCTATAAACACAGAGAACAAACTGATGGTTGTCTAGCAGAGGGGGTGGGGAATGGGCAAAATGAGTGATGGCTGTAGCCTTCAGTTATGGAATGAATAAGTCACAGGAGTAAAAAGCACTACATAAGGAAGAAAATTTTCTTGATAATTTCAAAGCAAAAAAAAAAAAAAAACAAACCAAAAACCCACCCCCCGCTCTGAGTCATTTTTTGGGGATTGTATAATATGAGCAATTGTTTCAGTACTGTCATCATCATCATTTCATTTAAAATGAAATGGCACCTCATGTACAAAAGATATTCACAGATACAATCAATTATTCTTCCCACTCTCATTGTGTGGACAAAGGCTTGTAGTAAGGAGCCTTTGTTTTTCTAGTTATTACTATGCCACATCCCCCACCCCCTTTCCTAGAGTCTGTTCAGTTCTCAGCTTTTTGGTTTTACTAAGCAGCCTGTGATCTGAAAACTACTAATGAAGAAGGAATACTTTGTTAGAAAGGTCAAATTGTCAGCCTTCCTCCGCCTGTCCTTCCAAATACAAAAGCAGTCTAACCTCCCACCCCATCTGGAGTGATCCGGGGGTTCTGGCTGGAGCTGTCAATTACTCACACAGATGAGGTTATGGGGAGAAGATCAGGGAGTGAGTTCAGAGCACACTGTGGCTGGCTGGATGTGGAACTCCTGTGATCCACACCTCATTTAATAATATGTTTTGAAAAAAATAACTGAGTTCTAAAATAAGGTTTTCTTTAATTTACTGCAAGACAGAGACCTTTTCTAAGAAATATAGCAGAAGTCATTTTATATCTGATCAAAATCTGTCAAGTATTGGCATGACACAGACACAGAATAAAGTGTATTTTAAAACTGGCAAATACATAAAAATAGATAGATGTAAGTGATGTGATTTTATAATATTGAAAGAAAAGGGACTAAAAAAGCTCAGTGAAAATATAGAAGACTAATGAATACATGTCTCCTGTACTGTATGATTTTAAAGAACAGAGATACCCTTCAATGCTCTCGGGGCGGAGGTATGGAACTACACATTTATCATTTTTGTCTAAGTGCCAAAGCTTGCTTTCTTTCTGTCTCAAAGGCTAGCCAGTTGGTTTAGGAATAATTTTTACAAATATATATATTTGTTTGTATATATATGCATATATTTATATATGTTTGTATTATTTATATTTAAAATATACATACAACATATTGTATATATACATATAAATATATACATACATAAATATACATATATGTATATATTTATGTGTATGCATATATATGTGTATATATATACATATATAAATACATATATATATTTCTGTGTGTATATATAATATATAAATGTATATGTAATATATATATTTATATAATATACATTTATATATTGTATACATTTATTTAGCCAGTCTCTATTTGGAAACCTTATGATCTATCCAAGACCATCCCGGATTACACCAGAATTGGGTTCCAGACCAGCTTGTCCACTAGCTTGTGACTTCATCTAGGTCTCTAACCTCAGTCAATCTCAGTGGGATAACATGAAATAAGCAATATGAAACAAAGTTGAAAAGATGTATACACTATTATCTAGATACATATTTCCTCTTTGCTCATATTGAGTTCCTGGCTCTATTTAAGGCCTCTGCCTGCATTGTCTCCCTTTGATTCTCAGAACAACTCCATGGACACTATTATTATCTTCATTTTACAGAGGAGAAAATTAAGACATGTAGAGATTATATAAAGTTGCACACTAGTAGAGCCAGTATTCAAACCCATGCCTTCTGCCTTCAAACCCAACAGTCTTGGTTTCTACCATCCTGTAGGAAGCATCTGTATGAAACTCTGTAAGTCTGAACAGAGAGAGAAAGAGATCTTGAGTGAGTGCTCCTTTATTTCATTTTAGATTTTAAGATTTCAAGTTAATTAAAACTTTCAGGTTTTAATAATTAATTAAATAAATATAGAAGTGGCTGTAGCTAATGGCATTACCAGGTAGAATACAAAGATTTCAAGACAGAAACTCAAGTTTTGAGTTTTGAGTAGGTCAGAGAAGGAAGTTAAGTACAAGTAGTAAATAAGAATACACAAAAACACTATTTTGCCGTTTAAATCATTTATGTCTTTCATTTTCTATTTCCTTTTTGAAGGGATGGGAGAGACATGGTAGATTCTGTTACAAAATTGACACTGTCCTTCGAAGCTTTGACCATGCCTCCAGTGGTTATTACTGTCCTCCTGCACTTGTAACCATTACAAACAGGTAAGATAGAAATTTTCTATCAGAGACATGACTGTACTTTTTTGACAGGAGGGCTCCTGGGATGATAAAATCTAGCCATAATCAGTAACTTGTCAAAATCTAAACTGTACAGTAGAATATTAAATTATTTAAACTATTGATTGAGATGAATTTAAATCACACAATGTTATTCCTAAATCAATTTTTGAGTAACCGAGTAAAATCTAAGATGACTTTTACTTTCCATAAAGATTTATAATTATTTGGTTTGGAATATATATTCAGTCAGATTTTATCTAAATGCATGTAATGGAAAAGAAAATGTTATTTAAAAACTATGTTTTTAATGTAATGTGTGTGAGTTATGTGAGGTTATTTTGAAGAACAAAAGTAAGTATAGCTAAACTGTGGAGTATTTTCAAATGCTTCCCCATTGCTTCTTAGCTCTATATTTGTTTAGATATAGACTTCTCTGTTCACAGGTGTCTTCTCCATAGTAACAGAGAAGCTGCCCTTTTGACACTCCACAGAATTTGCAATATGCTATAGATTTGTAATAGGGAATAAAAGTACCAACAGTGGAAGTGACCTCAGTGTCACTATCAATGCCAGGAGAACAATGAGGGCTGGGAAAAATGACTCCTCCAAACTGAAGACAGAAACAAGGTAGAACCCTTCTGTGGTTGCTTGGGAAACTATACCTGCAAAGCTAGTCATTTGCTTTTTTACTGAGGCTATTGCCTTTAAAAATATACACCGAAGACCAGAAACAAGACAATTGATACTATAGTCTTACCTAGAGACTCTTACCACATAGGTCTAACCTGTAGGAGGAATTATGTGCTTTCTCTGCTCTCCCCACAGAAGAAGTCAACATGCAAAGCCACTAGTATTTCCCGTTTCCTCTTATTTTCTTTCCCAGTCTTTCCTCCAAACCATGCACAGAATGCGTGTGCATGCACATGCCGACACACACACCCACACCCACACGCGCGCGTGCACACACACACACACACACACACACACACACAATGACTGGATTGACAGCAGTTTCAAAATAAATTGCCTGGCAAAACATTTTGTGCTCAGGAGTCCCTTCCTTCAGCAGTAGTACCACCCTTGATGTATCCCAGTGTTGTTTTTAGTTCTACCTTTCTCCTTCCCAGAATAGCTGGCAGGCAGAAAGAAGCCTTTATCCTCAACTTGCTCACCCACCCAAAAGATTTCAAAAGCACCTTGGGGTAAAGGTCCTCCAGTAAGTGAGCCAACACTGGACTTTATTCAGGAGCCTGATCAGTGAAGCTATCTATGCTCTTTTGTTAATTATAACATAATTATGTTTTTCACTAAAGAAAATTGTCTAATTGTTTCACCTGTTTCTTATGTCTTATTCTTTCTTTCCTTTTTTTTGTGTAATATTCATTGAATACCTGTCACATACCTGGCACTGTGCTAATTACTTTTCAAATGCTATCTAGACAATGCAAAAAAAGCAATAGTCAAGCATTTATTAGAAAATTATTTATTAAATATCTATATTGTGAGAGGCACCATATTAAACACTGGCATGCTGTACAAAAGAAATAAAAGGCATGTTATTATTGTCCTGGTGCCACTTGCAGGCCAGCAGCTAAAGAGGTAGAATATAGAAACATAGTGAAGAAGATGGAAGAACACACTAAATGGATAAATTCAAAGTGACATTACAAATAACCTATAATGCCATAGTGACCCAAGTAGGGCAGAAATCTGTTAACGTTCAAATGCTTCCTTTCCTTTCCTTTCCTTTCCTTTCCTTTCCTTTCCTTTCCTTTCCTTTCCTTTCCTTTCCTTTCCTTTCCTTCCCTTCCCTTCCCTTCCCTTCCCTTCCCTTTCCTTTTTTTTTTTTTTTTTTAGGAGAGAGAGAGAGAGAGAGTGCGTGAAAGCAGGGGAGAGGGGCAGAGGGAGAGAGAGAGAATCTTAAATCTTAAGCAGGCTCCATACTCTGTGCACGGAGCCCAAGGCAGGGCCCCATCCCATAACCCTAAGATCATGACCTGAGCCAAAATCAAGAGTGGGATGCTCAACCAACTGAGCCAGCCAGGGGCCCCCAGATACTTCATTTTCTAAGAATCCTGGAGATCTCATACAAATAAAGTGTCTGGAAAAAAATCTACTGGGTTTCATTTCCCCCAAAACTAGATACAAGAAGATGTTATAAATAATTTGTTTCTTCGATAAACTATATTCAGTAGTCAATATTAATTGACTACTGTATGGTCTAACTCCACACCAGAGCTATAGGATGAATAAGTTTGTTTTCATTCTATTCACAACCTTGTAGGCCCACTCAGGTGACTTTGTGCCAGAATGCTACTCAATGAACAGTCAAGATCCTGCATTGCTACCATTAGCCCCAGTGAGGCATCTCTCCTAGACAGTTACCACACATGTACACGGCCCTGCAAACATGTCTATATCCAAAGCAGTGACTCCAACACAGGACATGCAAGTTGAGGAAAGGAAGGGGCCCATGCTCTTAACTGTTATTCATTCAGATTCCATCAGGTAAGAAACAAAGCCTCACACTATACTCTACTCTTTGAGTGACAATGCACCACAAAATTTTTCAACAGCATCTTTTGTCTGAGAAGGTTGGGCAGCAGATGGAAAGTCTCCTCAAATCCAAAAGTGTCCACTAGCAGCCTGGATAATCATTTTCTTCCATTACTGATTTCCTGTTTGAGTTAAGACACTCCTGTCACTCACCAGTGCCCAACCTTGTAGTTGCTAATTGATTTTCCACTCTTCTGCACAATTGAGCCACAGATTCGATGGGCACAATTAGAACCACCTGCTACAAATTACTTATTTCTTTTGTTATCTGGCAACTGCTCCTGGTATTGGACTTTTTAACACTTTGTGGAATAGAGAGGGAAAGAAAAATAGACCCTTATTTCTGAATAACAGAATGTTATTTTCTTCCTGTTACAAAATATTTTCAGGCCTGGACACTTTACTTCCAGATAGGGCATGACTATAAATCTTGAGTTCCAGAGTTACCATGGATAATTGTCTAAATGCATGTGTATCTAAATTTTAAATCAATCAGCCATGGAATATTTAGTACAAAATAATCCAGGGGCGCCTGGGTGGCTCAGTTGGTTAAGCGCCCAACTTCGGCTCAGATCATGATCTCACGGTTCATGGGTTCAAGCCCCGCATCAGGCCCTGTGCTGACAGCTCAGAGCCTGGAGCCTGCTTCAGATTCTGTTTTCCCTCTCTTTCTGCCCCTCCCCTGCTCTCTCTCTCTCTCTCTCTCTCTCTCCAAAAATAAATAAACATTAAAAAATAAATAATAATAATAATCCAAATTACATTCAATTTTGTGAATTTTACCAATAGTAAGAAATCCTACAATATCTCATTTTCTGCTAGATTTAAATCTGCATTATTTCCAAGCAATTTTACAGCTCTGCTATTTTCCTGCAACCCCCACACCCTCTAAATACATTTGCAGTTAATTTTTTATTGTGATAAAACATAAAATTTATCATTATAACCATTTTTAAGTGTATAGTTCAACAGCATTAAGTACAGTTTTAATAGTGCAAAATCATCACCACCATCCATCTCCCTAAATTTTTGCATCTTTCCAAACTGAAATTCTGTGTCTGTTAAATAACCACTCCCCATTTCCCCTTGCCCCCAGCTTTGGGGAACCATCATTCTACTTTCTGTCTATGAGGTTGACTAAAGTTAACTTGTAAGTGGAATCACGTAGCAGTCATCTTATTGTGCCTCGCTTATTTCACTTAGTCCAATGTCCTCCAGGTTAATCGATGTGTCAGAATTTTAATGTGTCAGAATTTCCTTCCTTTTTGAGGCTGAATAATATTCCATAATATGTATGTGTCACATTTTGTTCACCCATTCATACAATAGACATGAGATACTTCCGCCTTTTAGCTATTGTGAATAATGCTGCTATAAACATGAATGTACAAATATCTTTAGAGTCCCTGCTTTCAATTCTTTTGGGTCATATACCCAGAAGTGGAATTTCTGGATGATACGATAATTCTATTTTTAATTTTTTGAGGAACATACTGGTTTCCATATCAGCAGCACCATTTTACATTCCCACAAGCAGTGCACAAGGGTTCCAATTCCTCCAGGTCTTAGCCATCATCTGTTATTTTGTTTTTGTATAATAGCCATCCTGATGGGTATGAAATGGTATCTCATTGTGGTTTCAACTTGCACTTCCCTAATGATTAGGAATGTTGAGTGTCTTTTCATGTGCTTATTGGCATCTGTATATCTTCTTTGGAGAAATGTCTATTCAAGTCCTTTACCTGTTTTTTAATTGGAGTGTTTATTCTTTGTTGTTGAGTTGTAGGAGTTCTTTATATATTCTGGATATTACTCCCTTATCAGATACATACTTTGCAAATACTTTCTCCTACTCCATGGGGTGCCTTTTCACTCTGTTGATGTCCTTGGATGCACAAAGTTTTTAATTCTGATTAAATCCAATATATCCATTCTTTTAATTTATTTTTTTAATTTACATCCAAGTTAGTTAGCATATAGTGCAACAATGATTTCAGGACTAGATTCCTTAATGCCCTTTACCCATTTAGCCCATCGCCTCTCCCACAACCCCTCCAGTAACCCTCTGTTGTTCTCCATATTTAAGAGTCTATCCATTCTTATTTTGTTGCCTGTGTTTTTGGTGTCATATCCAAGAAATCATTGCCACATTCAATGTCATGAAACATTTCCCCTATGTTTTCTTCTAAGAGTTTTATAATTTTAGCTCTTGTGTTTGGTCTTTGATTCACTTTCAGTTAATTTTTGTAAATGGTATAAAGTAAGAAGAGTCCAGTTGCATTCTTCTGCATGTGGATATGCAGTTTTCCCAACATTAATGTTGAAAAGATTGTCCTTTTCCCATTGAACGGTCTTGGCACCCTTGTGGAAAATCATTGGACTATATCTACAAGGGTTTACTTCTGGGTTCTTTTCTCTATTCTATT